ACTCCCAAGTCTGTCATCTCAAAGAATTTCAACCTAGCTCCCGAGGTTTTTGCTCATATCCCCAAGGGAGAGAAATACATCTTTCAGGGATCCGTGCCTGGCAAAATCTCTGACGAAGAGCCCAATGGAAAAAAGGTCAAAAAGTCCAAGTACAACTTCACTCATAGAATGCTGGAGCAGGAGCCCGTCAACAGCACAGGAGGCTACGTCAGAATCACGGACTCGCGCAACTTCCCCATCTCCAAGACAGTAGCCGCAGCGCACGCCGTCATCATGCCAGGCGCCATCCGCGAAATGCACTGGCACCCATCTGCTGATGAATGGTCATTCTTCATCAAGGGACGCGCCAGAGTCACCATTTTTGCATCCGAAGGAAACGCCAGAACTTTTGATTACGTTCCTGGAGATATCGGCATCGTCCCCCGGAACATGGGCCACTTTGTCGAGAACATTGGAGACGAACCTGTTGAGATGCTCGAGGTCTTTCGCTCCGACGAATTCCGCGACATTTCCCTATTCCAGTGGATGGGAGAGACACCTCAGCGACAAGTCATCGATACACTGTTTGCTGATGACCCCGAAAATGGCGAGCGATTCCTGAAGCAAATCAAGAACGCCGACAACAATGTCATTACCAAGCCTGACTTTGTTCGATCTCAGGAAAATGTAGTTGACGAACTGTGAAAACATCGACCGGTCAAAACAGAAGGTTTTCCGTGTTTGATTTGATGTATTAGTTATTATCTATGGGGGATTGTCCTATGGCCAGTCAGGCAGATTGTACAAAGTTCTACATGAATTGATATGTTTGTTCAGCTCAAACAACGTCCATTCTTCTTACCTATCCAAGGCATGTGCTCGATTTCCGATCAAGACTAAAAGCAGCAGGCATTCCAAGATTAATTAGGTCTAGGGGAATTTAGTGAGAGCAAGGGCTCTATCGAAAAGCTAAGTGAGAAACATCTCGCAAAGCTTAAGCTTAACCATTTCGACCAAAAACATGCATATTTCTTGTAACCCTCCATCTCGGACCTGGTAACCATTTTCGGCCATGGCCAGCCACACCAAGTCGGGTTCATTATTTTACTTGCCGGCATATCTCCAATAGTGCGGTGGTTTATTTATATACTCTTCAAAATCTCACAAACCAAAGGATCCAGGCACTAGCACCAATTCAATCTCGACTCTCCTTTTTGGATCAGGAGCATACGCTGCTGCATCCATTACCCCAGCTCACTTTCATTACCCCGCAGTCCATCCTCCGCGCAAATGAGTCCAGACTCGGATACCATGTCATCATGTCAGGGGTGCTTGCGGGGAACCAACGAAGTCCCCCCGCGTGAGATTGTGTCTTATGCATTTCGGGAGCTGGAGGCTGGTTGCCAACACTACACTGGTTTTCTCCGTCCACTGGGAACCCGTCTTTGGCACAAGGATCCCTCCCTCATCTAACATGCCAATCACCACCGCATCACGACTTCAGAGTTCGGGTTGTCCCCATGCCGGATGCTATTCGGCTTACGCGGTTTACTCGGTATGTTCACTGTTACCGACGACCGACAGTCCACCGATGGAGGGTAGTAACATCGGGTAATACGGCGGCACGCAACCTCTTGGCGATGATTTCTTGGGATGAATCTCACACCCCATCACACCAGATTCCAGATTCTCACTTCCAGCCCCTTACATGAAATTGGACAGAGATATGAGCCCGGACTGGCTTACTTTTCAGCTGGTATGGGATTCGGCATGGAACGCAAGAAGGGCAAAATCGCTTTCAATAAGATTAGGATGGAGAAAGATGGTATGGAAAGCATAATTGTTGAGTAAAAATGAACCAAAGAGATAGATTGCGGACGAGTGTAAAGATCAATGAGATAAATGCCACAGAAGATCAGAGGGTTGAAAAGGAGTCTAGATCAGATAAATAAGTAACTTAATAATATAAGTACACTTTCTGTAAGCGATAGGTCTAACATTAGGGTGCCCGTAGTTTACAGAGAAAGTCAAGGTTTACTACGACTGACTTAGGTATCTACAAGACGAGCCATATGAATGAGATAGACACCAAGTTTTCATGGCATGGGGGGATTTTGTAAGCCCCAGGTAAGTCCCTAGTGGAATAGATCAGACTGTGCAGGTTACCTAGACTAAAGGACGTTTCCACGATGCTCACTTGCTGTATTGCCATAATATCACTCACCGCTCGCGCTGAGCCACAAAGAGGAATGGGAAGCCGGTTTTTTGGTAGTGTATTGGTCCCATCACATACGACAATGAGTGTGCTCGTGATACTGGGTGATATGTCATGGAGCTGTTAATGGTGACGTATCATGATTGTTGCTTGACGCTAGACTGCGAGGGATGGTGTCCTTAGTGGAGCAGCAACAGCCTATCCTCTTCACCAGCAAGCTGGAATAGAAGTGAAGCTGAGTTTTCACAGCTTTTATGGTGAAGGGAAAATGGACTATTGGCACGGAGTTTTTGACTTTTTGAACAGTATGACATTCTTTTTTTTCTCTTCGTCAGTAACGCGTCATGAGTAGGCCGATCGACTCAGGTTACCCTGAGTTGAACCCATCATGTTCGCAAATGCGATTAGCCGCGATGGTTTTGAGCATCAGGTATTGTCCTTTTTTGCCAGGATAATGACAGGAGATTTGAAATCATTTGGCTTTGGGCGACTTGCATTGGAACACCAGTCACGGCACTCAGATAGTAATGTTGCCATTTCACCAAGTTAGTGCGGATATTCATTCAGGCAAGCTTGTAGATGGATATAGACCTTTATTTTCAGCTGAGCAACACTCTAAATATCGTACGTAGAATGCACTCTCTTGTCGCTATTTTCCTTCGACACTATTAATCACATGCCAATATCCACACCCGTCAAAGCACCATACACTATCTCTTCAGGTTTCCAACTTTGGCGGTATCGAAAGGAATATATTTCAAGCCAGCCCAGCTTAAACTCCCAGTTAAAAACTAGAGAACTCTATGTGTGGGCAGAAAACACCGTCTCTGTTGTCCTACTTGAGCTAGAGTCGAGAATTTGATCAGTACGCTGTCAATGGATGTCTGGTCAGTTCAAGGGAACACTGACGCAATCCGTCGCACACTACACCAGAAGATCAGTATTCGGCCAGATATTAATGCTATGAAGGAAATAATCTTACTTTCTCTGTGCAAGCAGCCCTACATCCAGGCCTATCGAGTGGCTAAAGTGGTCGTACATATCAGCATCCATTTGAAACTCATTGGTATCCGTCACCCGTTAAAACTTACATCTTTGTCATTACATCCTCCCAAGTCAAGACCGTTGCATGCGCTAACGCAGGCCTACAATTTTCACAAGATATCAGCATACTGCCAGTAATGATGAGGCGTAACTTACTTCTCTGCTATTGATGGTTGTAGTAACTTGTTCAGGAGGGCCCTCATCCTCGTCGCCACCAACAGGGATTGTAAAAGTACATTGAAACCTATCTTGACGTTGCTCCAGTCTTGCAATTACAGCTGGAGCTGCGGTTGCAAATCCAGCCAGTAAGGCAGTGAGCATAATTGAGGCCTTCATCTTTATTAAATAGGCGTTGAATGTCGTAGGTGGTGAAGTGAGTATGTCAAGCCATCTTACGGCTTGGCTTGGGCTCTCGTCTTCTTTAATACTTGGCTTTGGGCAATGTGAGGAGCGTTCAGTAACCAGTAGGAGGTAATTTCTTTCCACCTGTCTTACTTTCCTATCAAAAATACCACCCAATTGTCTGAGACCTGTGTTCCCACTTCAAGATAGTGGAGAGGTAGAAATAGTAGCAATATCACCTTCGGCAATGTTCTCGCATGATCCTAAACCAGACCGATCTTTACGCTGGCACTTGTAGAGCAATGGCGAAAAATAAATTCCATTGAAGGGTAGAACTCGTGTTGCCATCAAAAACACAACTGCATTGCATTTTGGAGCGCTTGCGATTGGACGTATTGGATGTTCGAATCGTGCCACTAGCAGCTAGCGACATCACTCTAGGTGCCCTGTACGTTGTAAGTGACCGCATATCAAATAGCCAGTCTGCGAACCACCCGAAACTAACAGCTGTGCCATCTCAAATTCATCCATCTTAACTAGCGGTGGATAGCTCCGATTGGCAGTATTAAACTACGTCATCGTCTGAATTGATGGAGACCGCAGGCGGGGAAGTAAACCGTCTGGCGAGGGGAGGACCGCTGGTGTTGGGTCGCATTGCACCTGGTCTCAGATCAAATGACTTCGTATTACTCCAGCCTTCAGATTTTCAATACAGACATGAAAATGGAACGGCCGACAGCTATAGCTAATAACTTCGGCCCACATTATGCCTAACTGAAACTTGAGTTGTTCAAGAGTCCCTTTTTGAGACCCGTGGAGATGCTAAACATGGCAAGTTTCATGTCACGGTATATTGCAAAGTAGGCAGGCACAGACAGCGTCTTAGCCTTTTCTTTCTTTTACGGCCACGGAATTCAATTTACAACATCCAACCGTTAAGCGGTGTGCTGATAAGTTTAAATATAATGTCGGTTCCACAAGGTGTTTCACATGGGCGTTTGCGCTTGAATTCATGCCCGGTTTGATCAATCATGGCACAAACAGGGAGTAAGCACATATCTGAAAGCACATATCTGAGCCCCCGTTTCCCATAGTCTATCCTCGAGATTTATTTCTCAAAGCCTTTTCCAGACATTTAGTTCCAAAAATCTGTTTCCGGGCCGATTATAGGGGGGACCTTTTTACTTAGGTCGTGTGGTGCGTCCAGGCGCGGGGAGATCGTGATGCCGCGGTTGCAGCTCGCCTGTCCATAGACGTCTCTATCAACCGTATTCGACAATTTTTCCCCCCTTTGGTCTATTATTATCCTCCTGCTACCAGTTCGCATATATCTATCAGTTATTGGTAGAAACAGGCGACTCTAGTATACTAGAGCAAAAAGTACGCTGCCTACCTGTTGAACAGGAGGTGGAATCCAAAATGGAGATTGAGGGAATTGAACCCCCGACCTTTCGTAAATTTTTATGCATTTAGGACAATGCAAAACGAATGTCAGACCACTAGACCAAATCCCCTCTTGGGTTAACTGACGCTGCGGGTACGCAGTTCATGCTACATGGATGGGGTAGTGTGGTCCTTCGGTACGATAGGAGTGGAGATGATAGTACTATCCCATGGCCAGCACGGCTCTTTCACAGATAATCATGAATACCAAACAGACAAGAAAGCAATTACATGATCAAAGAAATAAGACAGATGAAAAGTTTTCCTGATACGGAAAGGTCCTAACCGCAATCATGAGAGGATTGTGTGATATGGAAGTTGAAACAGTGACGGCAATCCACACCGCTTGATCCTCAACTTCAATGAACCAAAGCTGATAGACACCCTACATTCATGTGACCTCCTGACAAGTCGTTGGAGTCAATTAAAACTGAGTTCTTTCTCTCTTAGGCCTGTCTCACTGTCCTTTGTAGAGCTCTTACACTCTTCGACTCCCACTTTGATTCCCTAGTTACTTGCCTCATTCTTGCATTTGCTCGCCGTCCTAAATAAACACAATCCTAAGTAACATGAAATTATATGATAATTACAAGATCTGACAAGCGGATCTGCTTCCTGAAGGACCTTTGCAAGAATCTGCAAACACAATTTGAGGATGAGAGCACGAGTTGGGAACCAAAGAGCTCAGACTGCTAGCTTCCAAGTGCCACCCAAGTGACCTACGCATGGCCACGTAAGTCAAAATTTAACACGTCACTCACAGATTAGTTGCTAGAAAGCTTTCAGTTAGGGATATTCTACTACGCGTAAGGTAATTTATTATGCTCGTTTATAGGTACACCCCGTTCGTGACTCTGTTCTCCATCATCGTTACACAAATCTCTGCTCACCCACGCCGTAAATCATGATATCTGCCCTCATTCACGGCCCTGTGCAAGAACCAAATTTACGACATTACACAATATGTTTACAATCCTCACGAAACGGGTGAAAAAAGGGATGCTCCAAGAGCTCTTAGCAGCTTTGCTCTTCTCATTCGTCCCAGGTAATCACTGGAGCATTCCAGAAGGAAAGCCGAGAAACATCTCTTCTCATCACCAGGTAGTTCCGTCCTGTTTCTGCCAACTTCTTGCCTTCCAATATGACAAAAATTTGGTCTAATATAAGAACAGTTTGGAAGTCCTTCATATGCTGTTCGTGAAAAGGCTTGATAATACTGGGCTGTTCTGTGACTTACTATTATCGTGGAAAAAAGACCTCTCCAAAACTTTGTTCATAGTGCTTACTCCTCGCCGCCTAGATTCGCGATTGGCCCCTTGAGCTGGTGGCATAATAAATTTGCCTCTCTTAACCAATTCCTCTGGGGGATCTCCCAGAAGCGAAACCATTTGTGTAAGGTGAACATGTGCATTGTATTCGCCACCCCCACCGGCAGGCTAGTTGAATAGACCAATATCTGCTAGAGTTTCCCATACCTATCAATTAAAAATTATCAATTAGGAGGTTATACTACGATATATATCCTAGAGATGTTCTACCTATAAGCAGGGCGAGATTCCAGATATCAGCACTGTATAACCAAGAACCGCCAAGAAGCACCTCTAGGCTCGGAAGCGGTATGACTAGATGGCAGATAGACGCTCGAGGTTGTTAACCAATTCAGGAAAACTAAAACTGAAATTAGCCAGCTCATAGAAGATGGGTACTTTATTTTTATTTTTGTCCCTCTTTTTATTTTTAGCCCTCGCGGAGGGCCAGACGGTCAAGACAAGAAACGTCACAACAGGAGTCTGGCTCTCGTGGGGAAGAATACAATCTGGCTCAACATGATCATCATTTTCGGTGGGTTTTTGCCGTTGAACTTTTCGCAACTATGAGCAGGTTCGACGCCTTCGTTGCATGTGTTATCGTTGGTCTGATGATCCTTCTTTCGTAGCAGTCGTCAAGCCCAGCCATGTTATCACCAAGATTGTCAATAGCTGTAGTGGAGATGTTGCCCCAAGCGCCATTCGCAGAGCAATTGCCCATCAATTCCGGTTTGGTACCTGTATCTGGAAGTTTCTCTCCATATGCATCTGCATTATTTGTCTTTTCAATCGGTAGGATATTGAACAGGACATCATTGTCAAGGGACGTCGTGCTGAAGGTGTTGGCATCGTCAGCCTCAACTTCATTGATGGAGCTGGCGGTCCACAACATTCGCACGTCATGGTCGGAAATGGAGCTCGTGTGTCAGTCCTTTTGATGGGCAGTCTAAATAGTAGCCACTGGAATAACTTCGATCTAGGAAGACAAAGATCCAGGATGGGACAGGTGCGAGCAGGAGCGGCGTAAAAGTAAGGTAGCTAACCTGACATTGGGAGAGATCGGCTGTTTCGGGTACCGCACGTGACGATCTCCAAGTCAGACTCTCTGACCCTGGATTGGAGCGCTACGATGGATATGCAGACCCCGGCAAGTTACTTATTCGATCCTTGTTTGTTATGTTGAGGAACGAGGCTGGGGATACGCAGCTACCCCATAGCGAAGTTAGCACGGAAACGTTTTACTTAGCTTCTTCGTGAACAAACGGTCCTGTACCATATCGAGAGCAGGTTTGACGCAATTTGCAATCTTCAATGGCATGTCAAACCTGATATTATCTATTTCACCTCCTGTGTTATTATTTTACTCCGTTTTTTTACTACAACAGCAACACCAGTCAATTGGTAAGAAGGGTTCCTCATGCACTAATAAATTGCTCATCAAATTGCGCCCAATTCAATTCTATGAAAGGGTACGGATTTGAAGTAGTATGCTAACAAGCGCTTGAAGACCCATAAGGTCTCAAGATTGGCGCGCTTGGTTTGTCAGGCCACTAATTTAGCAAATTAGGAGAGGAGGAGTAAATTTGTACCCAAGGAAATGAAGAAAAAAAAGGGCCAAAAAAAACCCCCCAAATGTCGGATGTCGTGCGTCGAGCACCAAGGTCGAAGGTGAGCGCTAAACTGAACCCGGAATTAGATATTCCTGCTTTAGGCAGTCTCTTTGTGATGCATAATAGCCATTCTTTTCTAAGCTGGATTGATCTCAGATGTGCCTATCTGGATTGAAGCAGAATACAGTAGTATCTCCTGGTTGACCTTCAGAGACTCTGCTCTTATTGTTGTTTCTGTGCCTGCGACTTTGTCTATGCCGGCTGTGGCTTGATTTGCCGAGACCCGTAGAAAATAGTCTTATGTGTAAGCTTACTACGTTAGGTATAAGCCAAAGGCCAATGTTCTTTTGGATGGACAGACAGTAATTATAATAGCTTCTCGTTTTCTCCTGAACCTAGCCAACATTAGCAGGCAACGGTCAACAAACCGGGGACGGACGCTGCATACCGCCACGGTAGTCGGATGCATCTAACGTCATGTCGTAACGTTTCTTCCGATTCACTTATGAGGGGAAACTGAGGGGAAAAGGTGTGGGCCTCCAACTTTGACCTTCCTCTTTTATAGCAATCAGATGAGTTCAACACCATGTGTCGGACCGATGAGAGCAACATCGTCCTCTCAATATAAGGTAATCTAATATGTATTGTGGACTTTAGGCAGAGCTTTGGTGGCTGATTCAGTCATCAACCGGTGGCGTTCATGATTACTTCTGGGGAAATATGAGGGGATACTGACGGGGCCCCAAGAAGCCCGTATTGTCGCTACCTACTTAAACAATGCCAATCCCTTGCAGTGTGTCTTCGATAATGCTCCTTTGAAGAGTACTCACTAGCTGCCTAATCATTTTTACATCGGCTTCTATCCAGGATGAGACTCTCCGGTGTCATTGCTGGCGTGGGGTTGCTTTGCTCCCCTGTGCTGGCTGGTTCGGGCCAGGACAAACCCAGCAACAAAGCTCCTCAGTTCCACAACTCGGCTACACATGAAGCCGCGGATCCATATGTATTTTACGACTCCAAAAGCGGGCAATATTATGCCTACTCTACCGCAGGGGCCGACGAGGGACACAACTTCGCCATCTATAGCAGCCCCGATCTTTCCACTTGGCGTAAGCAGCCTGGTGGCGTGCTGAAAGCTTGCTACGATGGTCAAATGAATCACGTCAAAGGTGGACAGGCCTGCTGGGCTCGAGATTGGTTTTGGGCTCCTGAGGCATACTATAATGAGAAGACAGGCTGGTACTTCTTCGTCTTTGCCGGACGCCTTCTTGAGGATACGGCAAAGGACCATTTCCGATACTCAGCTTTCGAGGAGCCTTGCAAGATCGGCATCGCAGTGTCTCGATCACCCACCGGTCCCTTCCGCGAGATTGAGTCAAAGCCCATTGACTACTATCCGTTTGATCCCAATTATCATGATGTTAATCTCATCATGGATGACAAGCAATTGCTGCCGCCGCAGACCCAAGCCAAGGGTAAGACTGCACCCAAGGGCACATACATTCCCGTTATCGATCCCAACATCTTTTTCGATACCAATGGCCGTATCTACCTCTACACATCCCGTAATGCGTACCGCAACTGGAATTGGGACGAAAAGCTAGGCAAGTACATTGAAGAATCCAATATCATCGTGGTCGAGCTGGAACGCGGCTGGTGGGATGACCCCAAGGCGTCGACGATGCCGAAAATTGTGTCTTCGCAGATCAACATCCACGCCAAAGATGCCACGCCTCTGCCCAGCAACATCACTTCTTACAATGGCACTGGTACAATTGGCAATCCTCCACGCAAGGATGGCTGGCAAACCGTCATCTCGTACGGTGCCGACCCCCAGGAATGGGAAAATTTCCACGTCGACGATTATGACAAATACAACGGAACTCGCAAGAATCGCCGTTGGTCAGAAGGTAGCACGCTCATTTCTAGGTTTGACAAGCACGGAAAGCCTGTCTATATGATCACTTATAGCGCCAACAACTTTGAAGCGGCCAACTACGGTGTCGGATTTGCGACGGCCAACTCCCCCTTGGGCCCGTTCCACAAATCCTCCAATAACCCGGTTCTCTCCCAAGAGCCAAATGAGCAGATCCCCGTTTACTCTACTGGCCACGGCAGTATCGTGGCATCCCCTCCTACTGATTACAGAGGCCA